TTTAGACTATGGTTCATATGAAACATTCTGAAAGCCACAGGTCCAAAAGGACATCACGACGGAGAAGCCTACAACTACCACGGAACACTCCTCCAAGTCAACAACGCAGCCAGGATCTGAAATGCGCTAGCTCTTGGTGTAGGTGGAAGATGCATTTTTAAATAGGGGGCTGTTCCAAATCAAGTTGCCTGAGTCTACTGGATTCCAGGGAGGAAAGGCATTGCGTATAGTATATTATACCTAAATAGCCTTAGTTTCTATTTCAGATTCCATTTGACTGTGGTACTATCCCTGTAAAATCCCAGTATACATATATGTACACATACCATACCCTATCATAATATTGCAGTTTCCATTTCCATTGTTGCACATGGCAATTCTACACCAAGGTGTCACTGCACTCTACTTTGAGTCCTGCACAAAAAAAGCAGTCCCTTTTCCAGGTTTGGGCCTTGCCTTGCATATGAGCCATAGTCTAAGCTCCTTAGAGGAGGTTATATAGGGGACTGTTGTAGGGGTTATGAAGGGGGATATTAGGGTTTTGGACTACGTATAGCTTATACGGGGGTTTAGGGTTTAGGCCAGAAAAGGGCTTAGGATTTAGGCAAGAAAAGAGTTTGGGGTTTAGGCCGGATCTTGGGGTTTAGAGTTCACGGGTTTAGGGGTTTGGGAGCATTTAGGGCTTAAGGCTTCACAAGATTCGGGGCTATACATGGGGGCTTCCCAACCAGGGTTTTATATGGGTATCTATTGGTTATATGGGGATAATAGAAAATCCCAGCATACCATTTAGGGTTTGGGGTTTCACAAAAGTAGGGGTCCGTTTATGAGGGTCGCTGTAAAGAGGATTACAGTAAATTGCATTGAGGTTTACCTAGAAAGGAAACAACCAAAAAACCAAGCAACAACCATGTAACCCGTAAACCTCTACTTGAGGATTAGGGTTTAAGGGTAATATCCATACAAGATCCCTATGCAACCCTAGTTGCCTTTTGATTTTCCATGTGATGCTCTATTATTGAAGGGGATGCGTTTTCATTTGACCTTCTATGACTTATCTGGGAAACATTGACTCTAACTCACAGTGCTTAGGAGGACCCCCACCCTGGAATAGTGGTAAAATAGGAATGTAGTAGGACCCTAATATAATCCTTATAACCCCCTATAGTGACTATTACAGGTGGGGTTCCACCTAACACATTACTGGCTTTTGAGCCTTATGGAACAGACTTACATGTTTAGTGGTGCTAGCAGAATCTCGCCGGCTGAGCGACAACTGCATTTGTTAAATGCGTCTCGAATGACAGCGGGCTTTCGGTGCTATCCAAGTACAGTAGATCACCTGTGATATAAAATGAGCAAACAGGCCAAACGCCCAAATCCTATCAGAAAGCTTTGAAGGTCCCCGCTCTTGGGCAGCTGGTGCAGCTGCTTGTCCACGCAGCGCTCAAACTCAACACGTGGATTCCTCGGCAGCATCTGCTCCACTGACCCAGCCTGACCTCCTTTGTTAAAATTTGGTAGCTTTTTGGCGCTGGGATGCCTGCACCAGGTAGCTTCCTATGTGAAGCCTTGTGAGGGGTGGAGCCCGAGAAGTAGATTTGCATGCAGCGTGCGTGTTGTGAGTATGTTAGAATTTTCCAGAGTGCCAGGATGCCAAAAATGATTTAGTGCGACACGACTGCAACACTCACATGACTCACAGGCAGTGCACCTTGACATAGCAGAATGCTTCTAGCATTGCCACCCCAAGCTGCTGGCATTCCAATTTGGTGATATCTACAGGATGTAGATCGAATGCGGCGGCCCCAAGTAGATATTCCCTTCAAGAAACATGCCGGTCAAGGTTGAAGCCTTATTGGGTCAGTCACGGGGACCACTTCAAAAGCTTGGCCCCATGCCTCTTCGCTCAAACGGGCGATGTGTGCAGTTCTTGCGTAGAAGTCCGGCAGCTCTGCACAAACTCCCTTTAGTGGAAAAGTGGATGGCAAGTGGCTCTGACGAGCAAGCAAGCTTGGAGCCATCTCAAGAACTGTGCCTTGCAAACCTGTAGCGCCATCGCAACGCAGGATGGAAGAGAACAGCTTGCACTAAACGTTCTGATTTGGAAAAGGCCCAGGTGGCCATTCTCATCATATGGTGTAGTTCATCATGAAGCATGACGTTGCGTGTTTGCTAGCACCTGCAGCCGGTGCAATGGTGTCCTGGTGCGCTGCCTGGTGGCTTTGGCTAGGTGATGAAGACACCAGCAGCCATCTGCATGCCAGCAGCGCAAGGGACGATGATGCTGGATGTTGGATGTCCTTAAGAGTGTGGTGAAGCTCCATGCCGGCAAGGGCAAAGGCGCAGCAACGGCGGTTGCAGCTCGCTGTCAGGTTCGCAGGGTTTGTCGCATTGGCACTGATGGTCTACTTGGCCTGCCAAAATGCAACAGCCTCAGTCGAATCCGCGTTCAAGCTGCAAGGTTTGGTCGTTGATTTCTTGCCTGTTGCAATCTTCTTAGCACTTGCTGCCTATGAGGTCAGCATGCCCCATGCGCTAGATCGAAGCTCACTTGAAGTTGCACCCAACATCGTTGAGGCCAGCGGTCAGTGGGAGGCTCAAGCCAAGATCTGGGAAAGCGGCAATGGCTCTCATCACCGCCCAAGCCAGATCAAAACGGAACCAGTTGCCGAGCCAGCTGAAGAGCAGGCTGTACAACAGGCTGCCCAGCTGGACCAGGCCCCAGCGCTGACCTCTGAGCTGCCCGGACGTGCAGAGGCGGAGGAGTCCACCCAGGCTTCCTGCAGAATTTGTAAATCCTACGTGCAGTATTGTTGTAGTTGAGGATGAACGGGATCCACCTTTTCCTGGAAACTTTCGTCACAAAGGGCCACTACAAAATCTTTGCGTTTGGTAGGAGCCAGCGGGGACTTCTCGCCCTGAAGCCAAGAAGACTACACCTCCGATCGTGGGCAGCTCCCCATCTCAGACACCTCCAGACAGCTCTTTATCTTGAACATTGTTAGGGTTCATACAGGGATTTATATTAAGGCTTATAAAATCTCTTCAGACGATGAAGGGCAGGCCGTGTGCACACATGAGTAGCATTTATTTGGGGATACGATGGGTACCTTAGAGTAAGATTATATCCTCCTTTTGGGGTATAGTATTTCATATAAGGAACATAATCTTACTGGGTTCAGCCACCAAAAAAATGCTACTCACATGAAGCAGTTCTTTGCATCAGAGGCGTCCACATCTGCTTCTGCAGCGATGATGCCGACCTGCGGCCCTTGGCGGTTGCGATAAACTCGACCTTGCGGCATGCGAGCCGTACCTTGGCTTCTAAGGATATTACAAGGTCTTTAGGGTTTTTAATGTGTGTGTGTGTGTGTGTTTTTTTTGTTTTTGTGTGTGTGTTAGGGTATTATAGGGTTTTAGGGTTTGTAATGTTTTTGTGTGTTAGGGTACTATAAGTTTTTAGGGTGTTTAATGTTTCTTGTGTGTTAGGATATTATAAGATTTTAGGGTGTTTAATGTTTTTGTGGGTTAGGGTATTATAAGGTTTTAGGGTTTTTAATGTTTTTGTGGGTTAGGGTATTATGAGGTTTTAGGTGTTTTTTAATGTTTTTGTGTGTTAGGGTATTATAAGGTTTCATTTTGTTTTTAATGTTTTTGTGTGTTAGGGNNGGTATTATAAGGTTGTATTTGTTTTGTTTTGTTTTTTTGTTTAATGCTTTTGTGTGTTATGAATTTAGTGCGTTTAATGTTTTTGTGTGTGTTAGGATGTTATAAGGTTTTAGGGGTGTTAATGGTTTTGTGTGTTAGGATATTATAAGGTTTTAGGGTGTTTAATGTTTTTGTGTGTTAGGGTGTTATAAGGTTTTAGGGGTGTTAATGGTTTTGTGTGTTAGGATATTATAAGGTTTTAGGGTGTTTAATGTTTTTGCGTGTTAGGGTATTATAAGGTTTTAG